GTTAGGAAGAACCAAAATTATAAAATCAGTTCAGGTGAATGAAGTTTGAAGTCAGGTCGCTCGGCCGGCGAACACTTCCGATTTGAAAGTTCTCCATCTGAATAAAGAGCTTACTGTCTGCAGAACTGAATGTATACATGCATGCATTATACCTTAAAAGGACAAGGGAGAGTGTAATGGCCATTTCAGGTTTATTAACTGTCATCGGACGACTAAACCCAGCCCTAAGGGTAACGATCCTTGAGGCTCGAACCCGCGACCTAGATAATTAAAAATCTAACGCTCTAATGACTGCACCACGGGCTTCTTGTATTTCTGACTACAATACGCTAGCCGTTGATCGGTTGCTGGCGGTGTCCAAGAGCGAGCCCCAAGGCACAACGGATCGAGTGAGTTCCGTACCGATCGGTGAGCGCCCATCTATCACAGTGTATATTCTTGATCGAAACCGGCAAGTCGACGAGCCCGTAGATGAGTGGTTAGATCGTTGGACTTCTAACTACCAAGGTCGTGGGTTTGAGCCTCAGGGTCGTTACCCCGGAGATGGGTAGGGCTGGCTGATGACGGCTTATAAGCCAGAAATGGTCACTCCGGCCTTCCTTGCCCTTGTCAGTAATGCACTTCTGCCTATGATATATATACTGCCGCCTGCCTGTTGACAGTTAATGAGAAGTAATCGATTATTCAACTGTGTTTGGTGGAATGCGGCCCAAATACCCATATACACTTTGGGACTGAGCATACAAAGCTTAATTCCGACTGATTTATGCTAAGCTAGCGAACAATTTCTGAGGAAGATAGGTTTTCTTATGTTGACGCACGCACTACTCAACTGTCCGGAAAAAAACTGACGAAAACATGGGGCATAGCAGTTGACAAAGCTGAATCTTTCAGCTACGTATTCCATACACGACCTAGTCCTCATAACATGTAGCATGCTACAATAAGACGTATGCGTACCATGTGAGCTGTGCACAAACTGACATGCGACGTTTCATCATAACGGAGGGCATTACATGAATTTCGATCTGGGTGCATAATATTTATTAAAACTGGAATAAGCGCGCACTAATCTGATCGAAGAATCAGAGCGAAGCTATTTTATTTCCTTTCCAGCATAGACGACCAATAAGCACAGAAAATAAATGAAAGTTCGGGTGAGCGAAAACATGTGTCAGTGGGGTTGGAAACAACTAAGGTGGAAATGGTTGTTAAGTGGTCATTACTGATTATTAATGCAACTTACTCGTTTGCTGTCATACACACGAACTGGAAGGTTCGAACCCTGATTTTGCAATGCCATGATGGCTGCAACGCTGTGAGTGCGGCTTAAACCATATGTATTCAGGTAAAAATTACTCTCATTTCGGTGGCCGAACGCTCACCGATGAGTTACGGGACTCATTCACCAACATGCCAACATTCCTGATCTAAAACGGCAAGACAAAGAGCCCTTGACTGAATCATTAGCGTATTGGGCTTCTCACAAAGAGGTCGCAAGTTCGAATCTCAGGTGGTGTATCAGTTGTTGTTATTGTTGGTTATGGCCGACCGGTGACAGCTAGTACGCCAGAAACGGTCATTCCAATCCCCTTGTCTTTTTCAGCAATACATACAAATCAGTATGCGTCCAGTAAGCAGAGCTCAAGGGGGGTAAAGTTAATAAGGTGCGTTGGGGGATTTGTAAAATAGATGGCATCATGAGCTTGAAAATGTCACATAATGGTTTACATGCATCGCGACTATTCGGGTAATAAGAACAGGTGGATCCAAAGTAGCGTCAGCCGTGGATGGTTCGTAAGGTTCTAATCTATTAAACTATCGTTGATTGGCGGGCGAGGGAGTCATCGCCAAGATCAAAGAAGCACTCGCGTACCTGAGAAACTGTGGTGAAGAGAACTAGCGGAGGACCTGATGAGCCGGAGGCGGGGCAACTGACGTAGTCAATACCAATGGCGACGGAGGGAAGATCACAGCGGCGGT